CCCCGCAGGTTCGCAGCCAGGCCAGACTGCGGGTCCAAGTACCAGCTGTGCGTTCAGCTCCTGTCATCCGCGCACGCGCCTCTGGGCACCTTCCAGCCAGACCCGGTGACCATCCAGCAGAAGAGCGATGCCAAGTGGAGGGAGGTGTGTGGGCCTGGGAGGGGCGGGGCGGCGGCCAAGCTCAGACCCAAGCCCTACTTTTCCTCACCTGGGCTTCCTCTGCTGTCAGCTTCACTTTCCTCATCTGTGGAATGGGTACAATGGTTCCTCCTCTAGAGATCTCTGAAAGAAGTCAGTGGAACGATGCTGGTCAAGGCAGTCCAAAAAAATGTCCAGAAAAGTTGACTGTTACTAATCACTAGCATCAATTATTACTATTTCCTAGACTGAGGTCAGCAAATATTCTCTTAAAATGGCAGAGACAGGCCAGGTGTGGTGGCTCATGCCTGTAATCCCAACACTGTGGGAGGCTGAAGTGGGAAGATTGCTTGCACGCAGGAGTTCAAGGTCAGCCTGGACCACAAAGCAAGAACTTGTCTCTATTTAACAAAAAAAAAAATTTGCCGGGCTCAGTGGCTCAGCCTATAATCCCACGCCTTTGAGAGGCTGAGGTGAGTGGATTGCCTGTGCCCGCGGGTTCGAGACCCGCCTGGGCAGCGAGACTTCATCTCTACCATAAATCAAAAATCAGTCGGGCGTGGTAGCGCGCGCCTGTAATTCCGGCTACTCGGAAGGCTGAGGCGGAAGGATCGCCGGAGCCCAGCAGGTCGAGGCTGCGGTGGCCGGGAGCGGCCACTGCACTCCAGTCTGGGCGACAGAGTGGGACTCCAACTCAAAAATAAAATAAAATAAGGTAAAATAAAAAATAAAATTTTGCTGGGCGTGGTGGTGTGCACCTGTAGTCCCAGCTACTTGGGAGGCTGAGGCAAGAGGATCGCCTAAGCCCAGGAGGTCAAGGCCAGCCTTGATGGCGCCACTGTACTCCAGCCTGCACGACCATGTGAGATATCAACTCCAAAAAGAAAAAAAAAGGCAGATCCAAATACGTGAGGTCTGGCCGGGGGCTGTGCTGCAGGCCACACTGTCTCTATCACAGCCGCCCAGCTCTTCAAGACTGCTGTGTGAGAGCAGCTTTAGACCGTATGTAAACAAATGGATATGGCTGTGTTTCAATAAAACTTTATTTGCAAAACAAGGCAGAGAGGCCACAGGCCATAGTCTGCCAACCCCTGATCTAGACCAGCCCTGCCCTGTAGAACTTTCTACAGGGATCGAAAGGGGCTGTGTCTGCACCACCCAGTGAGGTGACCAACAGCCACATGCGACTATTACACACTTACGAAGAACCAATCCCTAGTATGGCTGAGTATCTGACTTTTTTATTTTGCCTAATTTTTTTTTGCATGTTCTCACTCTATCACCCAGGCTGGAGTGCAGTGGCACGATCACGGCTCACCGAAACCTTGACCTCCTGGGCTCAGGCGATCCTTCTGTCTCAGCCTCCTGAGTAACAGGGACTACAGGCATGCACCACCACACCCAGATAATTTTTAAAATTTTTTTGCAGAGACGAGGTCACGCTATGTTGCCCAGGCTGGTCTTGAACTCCTGGCCTCAAGCAATTCTCTCACCTTGGTCTCCCAGAGTGCTGGGATTACAGGTGGGGGTGAGCCATTGTGCCCCGCCATCTATTTCACCTAACCTTTTTCTTTTTTTGAGTTGGAGTCTCATTCTGTCACCCAGGCTGGAGTGCAGTGGCAGGCTCACAGCCACCGCAGTCTCGACCTGCTGGGTTCAGGTGTTCCTTCCACCTCAGCCTTCCAAGTAGCTGGAACCACAGGCATGTGCCACCACGGCTGGCTAATTTTTGATTTATTGTAGTGACGCAGTCTCACCAAGTTGCCCAGGCTGGTCTTGAACCCCTGGACTCAGGCAGTTCTCTCGCCTTCGCCTCCCAAAGTGCTGGGATTACAGGCATGAGCCACCACACTGGCTATTTCACCTGAATTTGATTGAACTTAAATAGCCACTTGTGCCTGTGATGACCATCGTGAACATCCTCAGGCAGCTTGCGGTTTCTTTTAGTTCCTGTGAGCCACATGATCATCCTGTGGAAAGGACCGTACGGGATTCTGCTCCATTTTACAGATGAAGAAACTGAGGCTTGGGGCGGGGGGATGACCTGCCCCAAGTCACAGAGCAAGGATTAGAACGCCATTCTACTGAATCCAGAACTCAGCCCCTTCCTGGCTCCCCTCCTCAGACAGTGCCACGCTCAGGGTCAGCTCCCCTAACCTCTCTTCCCCCACCTCCCCACCTGCTCCTCACCCCAGGTCTCCCACACGTTCTCCAACTACCCGCCCGGCGTCCGCTACATCTGGTTTCAGCACGGAGGCGTGGACACTCACTACTGGGCCGGCTGGTACGGCCCGAGGGTCACCAACAGCAGCATCACCATCGGGCCCCCACTGCTCTGACACCCCCTGTGCCCCCAGCTGCTGATCCCTAACTGGTAAACTGCTGTCACAGAAGGGCCCGGCTTGGGAAGGGAAGGCAGGGGCCAGGCGTCCCCGGACTTCTGGGGAATGCACCCTTGCCCTAGCCGCCTCTGCCTTGGGGAGGCCGTCGTTTGGGCAGCCATCCCATGCCACGGGGCCAGCTTTCCACCCAAGGTCTCGGCCTGCATGGGCCCCACCGGAGAGGGAGCACCTAAGGCTGGGGCTCCCTCAGGCGCCTCCGAGAGCGTCCCCAAGCTCGATGTCACCCAGATCTCGGTCTCTCCAGCCCCTTCCTGGAATCTTTCTCCCTGTGTTCTTTGGGGCCCTTGGGTAGGGCAGATGCAGGGAGGTGACGGTGTGACTCAGACTCGGGAAGCAGGAGGCAGGCTCTGTGGGCTGCCGGGCCCAGTTCTGCCCAGGTTTCTGGCTCCGCTGGTCTGCTCAGAGGGGTGGCTTTGGCGCAGAGGCTCCAGCCCGGTCTGAGATGGGCAGACCCAGGGTGGGGTGGGGCCCAGGCCAGGGACAGACGGTCCTCACGGTCAATGAAGCCCCAGAAGTCAGAATGGTGCCCCTGGGGGCAAGGCTCCCGGAGGACCCAGGG